CGGGCCGTCCCATCTGTGTGATACCGCAACATGAAAAGTCACACACATACTAAGGAGACTCCACAGAATCGAGAGCCTTTCAACAGTACAGAGCCATAGATTACAAAATTAAAATACAAATGATCCCCCAAATTTGGCAGGAAACAAGTACAATATGAGGAGGCCTGGAATGGAAGGGCACTTGCTTTTCAATAAGGCAGTTACAAAATGGAAAACAAACCAACCCACACCCCAAATCACTCTGATGGGTGTAGCGGATAACAGATGTGTAAAACAGGGATCCTGTACAACCTTCTGTCATTGGCAAAGATGTGTTAAGTGAAAGCAACTGAAGGGTTTGTGTTTTAAGATGCACGCTAGATGAAATAACTGATTGTAGACATTCCTACCTTAAGAAAAGGTCCCACCTTGCCCCGGGCTGGATTCCACCTGAAAATGTCAGATCAACTTTACCCTTCCGAACCAGACACTTGGAAACAGTCTGTAATAAAATAAAAGGAATAAAAAGGCACCCCTAAAGCCCCATGCTTCCCAGGGCATGATCTGAGCTCACCTGTCCTTCAGTTCAACTGCCCAGCTCAGTAACAGGGACTGGGAGGCTGCGAATTGCAAGGCCACAGAGCTGTGTCTGTCCAAGTCAGGGCCAACTGAATTACAGAGCCTCAAAGGACAACCTGAAAGGCAGAAGTCTGACCAACAGATCACAGAACAAGCCCATTTCGTGAGAATTTAGATTCTAAGACAATACTACATCTCCTGCTAGGACTTTTGAACCTTGGTCTTAAATTATAGGCTAGTTCTTTTCTCCCCTCCCATTTGTTTTGCAAAACTCAACTGACTGCTTTCCTAATCATTTCACACAACCTTGAGTTCTGCAGGTTGGCCTTGGAAACCTCTGCTCAGTTGCAAGGTCTCAAGAATCTGAGGGCAGCTTACTTCAGACCGGAGTAAAGTCACGCTGCAAGTTGGCAAATGAGGAGAGCACTGGACAGGCCAGGAGGATGAGAGGTTACTTACTCTCCAGATGCCAGGTGACTCTGGCAAGTCTTTTAATGTTAGTTTCCCCATCTCTAAAAATGAATGACTGGGCAACAGCAACCTTAAAGAACTTTCCAGCTTGAAAATATGGCACTTCTCTGACACTGAGACATGTGGTCCCCCCGACCCACGCCCCCAAATGGCTAAGATTTTCCCAATAAAAACAATGTATGAAATATTGCAGGAATCTTAAGGTGCAAGCCCTCAGCAGCCATGGAACCTTTAAACTCCACACAGAGCAATGATAATATTTTAAATTTTCTAGCTAAAATTTTCCTAAGTGATGTGAGCATCAGTTTTTGTGGGGCAAGCACAGAACTAAGGCCTCATCTGTCTTACGGTACTTTTCAGCAGGCTGACAGCATGCCCCCCACCCCAACTCCCTCCCCATCAGCTTCAGCACGAACAAGCGAGTATAACTGGGCTGATGGGGTTCCCTCGACATTCTCCAACAAGGACCTAAATGGACCAATACTCAGGGGGAGGACAGTCAGGACTATCTGCTGCCTGCTCCTTTCCAGAAGACAAACGCTTTGCCCTGGGACAGTGCAGCAATGAGGTCGTTGGCCAAGATGAACAACTTGTTCCAGGTGGGCCCCACTGGGCAGAGACTAAGATGGAAATTACAGAGAACACAGAAAAGCCAGAGGTTTACAAAGCTAGAACAGGCTTCCCCAGGAGGTAGTGAGTTCTCTGTCCTCAGAGGTGTTTAAGCCCAGACTGCTCAATCCCTTGGTGGGACAGTTGTAGGCAGAAAGTCAGCACCTATGGGGAGACTGGACTGGATGACTTAAGGCCCTTTCCCAGCTTTTAGATCTTGTCATTGTAATGACAGAGCCTTCAGATGATTTCCACACAGCACATAACTCTGGTTCCCAGAGTAAGTTCCCTCTCCTGCTTTCTCCCTTCTCCAACCAGGCAGCTGTCCTTCAGGATATTAACAAAAAAGTTCCCACAAAATAAACAGCTGAAATGCCAAGGTTCGATGCAACATTCCAGCTGCAAACAGTTACTACTATCCGTTCTCCAGAAGGCTAGCAGTGAATACTTAGCTACCACAGGAACATCTAGCAACCTGGCGGCTGTAATACATAAGTGAAATTCCTCTTCATTTTACAACACCGGTCTTGAATCCTTTGGTTTCAATCTTGCATGGGATTCAGCTATGATCTTTCTCACTTGCTGTTGCCAACCTAAGAGTTTGTTCGTTGAAATAAAGTTTGTCCGCTTGTTTTTGAAAAACCTTAAAACAAAGCAACATGAATGGCAGGATACTGATGTTTCCATGTGACAACCTTCAGGGCATATGCAAGACCCATACCAGGCCGGGACTGAGGCAGGAACCGTACTCTTCAAGAAGACAATGCCAGTTCTGGATTGCGAATTCCAGTTTTGCCCAGGAGCACCAAGAGGAGAGAAGGCAATGTTGCAACGTGGCGGGTGGAGAGAAGCGCGAGTCCTTGACAGGTGATATGAAAATGCAGGCGGCCAGGATGAACACTGCTTTCCCCAAACCCCACTGCTCCCTGAAGCCAGAGCCAGTCGCTTTGGAGGGCCTGGACATTTCCAACAGGCAGGTCTCCTGCCCACAGGTCAAGCCATGGGAAACTGCAGAAGAGGCTAAGGCAAGTGGTTTAGTGGTTGATGAAAGAACAGATTTCTGCACACGGGAAAAACGTAAGTTCAGACAGCTTTGTCTTTTCTCACCCGACATGTTTTCAAAGGCTGAAAAGATACCCACAACCTCCGATTTCCCAAAGTACCTCTCTTTAGAGGAAAGATGGCCTGGGACTCACCTGCGCTCAGCATCTGGCTGAAGGTGGCAAGTTGCCCCAGGCTTCACTTTGGAACAAGAGCATTCTTACAGACACACTTGAACAGATGGATCCTAACACCACATCTTCTTGTATAGAAATGTACTGCTGTCTCGCAACTGGGAAAACAGATTTGCCATTAAAGAAACAGTGACATGACCTACACATCCACAATTTTGGTTTAAACACAGAAAGATACACGTTTTTTCTCAATAAGATATGGACATTTCTAGAGAGCAGGTTACCAATATGCCTTAACCTATAGGCCCCATCTGCCCCCAAACTCCACCCCAATGAGAAAACCCTCCTCCTGACAAAGGAGGCTTGGTGTTTGACTCCTTCAGAGCCTTTCTAACTCAGTCTCTCAGGAAAAAAATCTATATAAGTCGCATACCTTTGAGGCTTCTTGATGTCTACACATCAACGTCCCTCAGCTAGAAGTAGTGAGACAATCTCTAAATACACATCGAATCTGAATGACTAAGAACACTCAGAGAGCACCTTGCCATGCCGTCCACAGCCAGGTGCACGAAAATAAGATCTCCTCATAGTCTAGAGTATGTGCTATGTACACGCATTTATATGTATTTAAAAAGGCTGCAATCTGCTAGACATGCATTTTGAACACTGGCGAAAGCTCTGCAGCAATGGAACGCACTGCGTTAGTGAGAGTGGTGGCCGTGTCCCCAGTGCACAGAAACCACGGTACTCTGCTCCACAGAACCGAGACCTTCAGACCCTCCACCACACTGCTCAGTGGGGACGTCTGTTCTAACTTCTCTGTGCTGACGCTCAGATTAAGCCATCTATGAGACATTAAAACTCCCTGCCAGGCCAGGCTGTCCACTGCTCCTTTTATTATTTAAGGCTTAAGTAAGAACTCAGAATTAAAACTGAGCAAGAAAATGATACTTTTGACCACAGAATATGTCAAGATGGTTAGAAATTGGAATCCAAGTCCTTTTCTTCTTTTTCTCCTACCCTCTATCCACACCCTCTGCCCCCCAACACTGATTAGAAAATTTTGCAAAAGCATACTTTTGGACATAATGCTTTGTTTTCAAAGGATACTCTGGCTCTGATATAATTAGATAGAGGAATCTGAGTTTTTGAACATAAAATAACAGGTAATTATTAATACTTAAAAAAATCATTTTAGTAATCTTTCCCCTAAAAGGGAGGCAAATTGCTCACAAAATGAACATCAGATGGCACTGACCTTTGTTGCTCAAACCCATGATTTGCCGCTGACCCCCAAGAGCCCCGGGGGTCAAGGTCAGACAAACTTTCTATCCCAGAGCTGGACTTCTGAGCAGGAATCACATGGTCCTTGGCAGCTTTCTTGGGTGGTGTGAACTAAGGATTAGTACTTCTGAAAACATGAGCCCCAAACCACTAAACATCTCCATGTTTCAAAGCATTTATGGCCCAGGAGAATGGCTGAAGTCATGATACATAACTTCACCCCAAAGAGTGAAGTGCAGAGGGGTGTGCAAAGGGCCACATCTCTCATGAGGGTCTCTGCATTAGTGTTTCTGGAAGCTCCACAAATATAGCTTGGCAAATGCGACTGCCCTGAAGTCCTCGTTTGACTTGAAACCTCCTGTTGGTGCATCAGGATTTCCTCCACACTCTAGAAGTTAAGTGGCGAGCAACACAAAGGGCAGAGGTCTCATTAACTAGAGGTGTGAAGCAGATGTTACAAGGCTGGCACTGGCAGTGACAGCTCAATTAGCCAACAACACTGATTGAGTACCTCCTGTGTACAAGGCACAGAGCCAGTGAGCGAGACCAGTGTCAAACTGATGTGCTGATAAATGACAAGGCTTGCAACAAAGCGGGGCAACTACACCCCCAGCAGACTTTGGTCTGCTCATGCACCTCCACCGTCAACAGCACCCTGCTGCTAGTCCAGGGCTATTCCCCTACGTGGCAGCGTGGTACAACAAGGTGACTACCAAAATATTTTTTATGCCACATTTCCAGTTCAATTCTAGACTTAATGCTTTGTTGAATGCTGCAATACATAGTTTTAATTCTTTTTATGATCTTGTTTTTTTTGTCCAGTAGTTGCCTTAAAAGAAAGTCTTTGTATACACATGCTGAATCATGAGAATATAATCCTCCTGACCAAAAAGATTTACAGTATTCATCATTCAAACTTTTTTATTTACAATAAATTTAACAGTCTTTATGGGCTTAAATGGAGCAGATATCACCTGTGCACTAAGCATTATACTTCGTTCCTTGAAGATGTGCTTCACCCTCACTCCAGCTGCTTGCCACCCTCTGCTTTCTGGTCCAGTCTACTCTTGTTACTCTTCACCATGTAGATAAAGTAGGCCAGGGTCTCTTTTTCATTCACAGGTATGTTCCTGAAGTGTCGGCTGACAGTCTACATGGGGGACAATAAACCAGAGGCCATTAAAGCACACACAAGTCAGGGCCACAAATTCTAAATTGTGCAAAAGAGGGACTAGGAAGTTGCTTCCAGAGCTATGGAGGGGATTCTGATCAGTACTATACAACTTCCTGTAGTGCTGCAGACTCAGAATGCCCTTCTTCCCAGGGGTTTAGGTGACTTGGTTCCCAGGCTTCCAAAAGTGGCACTTTAACCCAAAACACTCTCAACGTGCAGTTCTAGTTCAGTGGCAGCCAACTGTCCATCATGGCATAATCTCCAGGTCAGCCCCATGGAAGAAGAGATTGGGACTGCTCTGATTGGCCAGTTGCTACCATAACCTCTCAGGCACCAGAACTAGGCAGAAAAGTGTCATTTTAAAATTGTGTCAAATGAACAGCCAATTGAACAGATGTGAGTGTCTGACCCAAGAATTCATCTAAATAGTACATAACTGACACATCAGATTGAAGAAAAAGTCATCATCTACTATATATTCCTGATGCTTTGCTTTATTTTACAGGTCCTGAGAATGCAGGTCTCCTCTCACCCCACCTCATCCTATCCCTTCCCCCAGGGGTGAATACCGGCCAATGGGTGATGTTAGCTTAAGTAGGACAGGCTTGTGTGCTCCTATGTTTTATCCAGATGCTGGTAAAGGAGAGGTTTAAGAAAAAATGATGGATCAGCAAGAAACCTCTAAAGGAAGACCAAAAACCAATGGGGCTGTGAGCCTTTAAGGAAATCTCTGAATGAACTGAGGCGGCCGGGACAGATGAGAGAGTCAGAGAACTAGAATTACAGCGTGGTCAGCTCCGGATGATAGGACTGTATTTTCCTTTTCTCCATTTTCCAAATTTTCTACAATAGGCAGAAAAACACAGGAAGAAAAGAAGGATGAGGGGTACCCACACAAATGCCAACAGGACAGAAGTATTAAGCCAGGCTGTCAGTATGTTAGAATAATGGCCAATAGAGCATTCCCCGCCCCCCCCCCCACCCCCGAGTGGGTTAGAACTCAGGGCAGGAGAAAACTTTCGTGGGCTCCATTCGTCTTAATATATACTTCCATTACCAACATCAGAGTAGAAGAAATCAAGGAAAAGAAGAAAGAAAGAAAAACAGCTCCTACAGAACATGAAGGAAGGTTCTGGTATGATTAATCTGAGACACATGATGCGCAGAAAGGAACCTATCTATAAAGAATCTTGCAAAACAAGATTTAAACAAACAAAAGAACACTCAGGACTTAGAATCAGGAGTCCTGAGATTCCAGGCTCAATTCTGCTACCAACTTGCAGTGTGATTTTAAGCAAGGCCTTTCCTCTCTCTGTGCTGTGGTTTCTTTTACAGAAATAAGGCCTTTCCAGGTCTAAAGCTGTGGGATTCTAAACTGTGCAAAAGAGGGAATAGGAAGTTGCTTCTGGAGTTATGGAGGGGATTATGATCGACAGACACACACAGTAGAAGGCAGAATCAAGGTCACCATCAGAAGCACAATGCTGGCTCTCTCTTTTTAGAGCACAGTTTTGTCCACCTACTTCTGCTAACTGGGCCTTATTGAAGCCTGGTCTGGTCTGCAATTTGTAGTGTCGTTTATAACGTCGTAGAGTGTTCACCTGCAGCTGGAACAGATCAACCTAGAGAGAAGAGGAGAAACACATTATCCATCACCTGACCAACCACGACTCACCAAGAGCCCACTATGTGCCTAGCACTACACTAGGTAGGGGTGGGGATGAGAGGACTACAAAGAAGTCTTAGAAATGGTCCACTGAGTACTAATAACTGGCTGGGAGGACAAAAATCACAGTGGAAAGAGTTCTGGCTGGGGATGGGTGGTCCCAGAAGGCTGATGGAGTGGTGAGGCTTAAGCTCAGGAGAGGCAGGGTTTAGAAGGGCAGTGAGGAACAGAGCTGGAGTAGGGAATAGGAGAGACGACCATGAACACAGAAAAAGCCAGGAGATGAACAGATGGGCTAGGGGGTCACAGGCAATCGTGATGGGTTTAAAGGGTGAGATTGGACGGCAGCATGTCTTGAAAAGCAGAGGGAGCTATCATAGGTGGTGGAGGGTGATGTTCCAGGAAGATGGATCTAGTGGTGGTTTGTAGGTAAGACTGATAGGGGGCAGAGGGATATGCTGTCGCAGCGATCCAGAAATGAGATGATGGAGTTGAGCTGTGGAGGGGTGGTGATGCTAGAGGGGACACAAAACATGGAGAGCAAAGGTAAAACCAGACAGACATCCTGGAGGAAGACAGGCCAAAGCTTGGCAGCAGACCAGACAGAGGGGCATGAAGAATGACAGTGGGAAGTACTGTTATTCTCAAATAGTTCTTTCCGAGGCTCAGCCTTCAGGTATTAGAATCCTTAACGACCCTCTAGAGCAAGCTCAAAAGCTACTGTAGTGAATGTACAAATCAGCAGGTTAGGGTCAGGGTCTCTGCAGATGACTGGATAACAGAGGGGAAAGGACCCCCCCTTTTTTCTAACACAGGAAGAGAGGAAAGCTGCACAGTCATGAAATATTGAAGGCCCAGAAAGTCGGGCTGCCTTTACCTGCCTCTAAAAGAGATGTTCTTGCTTCAGGCAGGTGGAGAGCACTTAAAAACAAAATGAATGATCAATATGAGGGACCAAAGTCCTTCATTCTTTTCAAAACATTCCTCAAACCTTTTTTTTTGTGAAAAGCATTTAGAAAATGAATACATCCATTTCTTTATAAAATAATAATAATAATGCTAAAGGCAACAGAAAGATATTGTAAACCAATGCTAGAAAAGGGGACACAGGGAGGGGCAGAGGGAAAGGGCCGTATTTTCAAAGGTTCCCTCATGTCGGCAGACAAAGGCCCGCCTACTCTTTCTATTCCTACACAGTCATCTTCACTCTGAGTGCTAACAGGCGGTTGCCTTATGAAATATTCATGCGTCAAATATTCAATGTACATTATAAACGGTTCTTCTTTTGCTGAGTCTTAAGTGAAAACAATTTAGATAGAAAATCCAATATTCCTTCCTGGAGCCTTGCTTAATAGACACTGGCACCCTGAAGGAAAGGCAGGCTTCTGGTTTGAGAAGTTTAGGTCTCATCGTCTAGTGCAATGGGTCTCAACAGGGGACGAGATTGCCCCTCAGAGGGGCATCTAGCAATGTCTGGAGACATTTTTTGATTGTTATGACTCAAGGGGTGGTATGACAGGCAACTAGTGGGTAGAATCCAGGGATGTTGCTAAACATCCTACAGTGCACAGGACAGCCCCCACAACAAAACAATTATCTGGCCCCAAATGTCAACAGTGCCAAGGTTGAGAAACCCTGGTCCAGTGAAACTGACTTTGAAATGGATCCTGGGGAACAAGCCTGGACCAGGAACCAGAGAGCGATAGAAAATCAGAGCTGATATGAGCAGACGACTTACACCTTCATTTCTGCAGACCAGAAAATAGAAGGGAAGTGACTTTCCCCAATCCATACACACTGTCTCCAACTTTAAAGGCAAAAACAAAGTTTTAAAAACTTGACATTGTGGTTGTATTTAAGCATTTGTCGGGGGCTTCTTGAAGAAAGACAGCATGGCCTACTGGAAAGGGCTCTGGACCAGAGCCCCGCGCTATACATGTGACCTCAAGTCTCTGTGCCTGTCTGTAAAATGATGGGGCAGTCAGACCAGCTGATTTCTAAGCTTTCAGCTCTCAGATTCGATATTACTGTGATTCTACAATTTACTTTTCAAATAAACCACAGCAGAACAAAGGGGACTAAAATGACTTCTTAGTACAAAAAGCAGATCAGGCCAGAGGTAAGGATCAGATTAGAATCCATTCTTCCAGCTTTCTCAAGCTGGATTTGTGACCTTTACCTCAGGAATGTCAGCGTCGTGCTCAGGAGAATCTCCACCATCGTCACTCGTCTTCCTCTTCCTTTTATTTCGTACACTCTGGATGAAATTTTTGTGGAAATCGCAGATATACAGGTGCCTTACCTGATGGGAAGCAAATTAAAGTCAGATTTGCCAATTCCCCGCAAACAGCAACAGATATCTATCCAATTATGGGGCTTCTCTCCTTTGCAAGGCATTAGAGAGAGAGAGAGAACAAGATGCAGACCATAATTTCCAGAAGTTTACTACTGAGTGGCAGAACAAGAAACCCACAGAGAGAACGCTAACATCACACTGGGCTGTGTATTATAAACCAAGTCCCCACCGAACGGTCAAGACAATAAATGGTACAGATTTAGCAAAGGGACAGATCCCTGCGGCTGAGGCAGTCAGGGTGGAGGTCCCTGACTAGAGGGAGGATTTGTAGGTAGACAGGAAGCATCCCAGATGGGAAGAAGAGCCAAGGCTTAGAGTTTCAAATGAGGATGACAGAAGGTGTGGGTGAGGCGGCCCAGGGTAAACACTGTCAAGTAGGCGGACGTGACCACCCTGTAGGAGCATAATGAGAAATTCGGGGATGGGGGCACTGAGAAGAGCTCAGACTTTCCTTCAGACAAGACAAAGTCCCCCAAGGTTTTTGAAGTAGGGAGTGAGGTGACATTTTCAGACCTATAGGAGCTATGAACTTACAATGGGCTGGAATACAATGCCCTGGGGAGGACAGCAGGAAAGAAGGGACTGTCATAAGGGAAGACGGGACATCCTATTTTTACACTGACAATAGCTACTATTGTAGGATGACAACTCTGAAAAACTGTATTACTGTGTATCAGTTGATAATTCTTGCATTACCACACATCTAATCCACAAAGAGAAGCAGAAAGAGATGTAGAAATTCTCACAAGGTAGAACCACATAAAAGAAGCTGGATACTACTGCTGATTTTCTAACACAGGCTGGAGGCATAATTGTAAGTAAAGGCGGCAACAGCAGCTAAGATGTGAAGAACATGTTTTTATTTAAGAATCTAAGTACCAGGGTTGGCTGGAGGAACCATTCAAAAACCTCACAGCAACTGAATGCCTGTGTGAATGACTTGGGGTTGTTGACACTGAAACAGATGTTCCAAAACGCTCTCGAAAGACTTCTGAATTTGAGTTTATTCCTTAAATTCTTAAAGATAAAAGTAAGCTGATAGGACGGCAGCATCCATTAATTCAGGCCTTTTCGTGGAGAAAATAATGAAAACTGCTTTTTATTCATATAAATGATCACTTTCATGTGGTTGCACCAGTGAGTCATGAGTAGTTTCAAGTTTATATTGTGATGGTGTCTTGCAGACAGCAGGTGTTCAATAAATCCTGTTGCATCAACACAGGCAGTCCCCTTGCATCTGAAAGCGGCTTCAGCCAGTAAAAGCCACCATTTGCACATGGTTACAAATTGGAATAGCTTTGCCAGATTAATTCTGTCAAAGGACTTTCAGAGACAGCATGAGTGACTGTGCCCAAGAATCCCGCCTGGTTGATGTGCAGACTATATCTTTTATCAGGGAAGAGAGCACAGTCACAGCACACTCCACGCCCCTGAGAGGAAGCTGGCCCTCATGTTAGCTCGTGCCACACACGGACTCTGAGAGATGAAGCGGCTCCTCAATTTCACAGAGTGACAGACTTGGTAGGAGAACAGGCAGAAGACGTGACTTCCTAAAGCTGTGGCTGGGAGATTTCAGGTTGGGACACTAGAATAATGGAATCCTAGATGGAAAAGAACTAAGCAATCACCAGTGTGACCCCACTGGCCTCAATCTCATTTGCTAGAAGGATAAACTGAAGCCACCCAGAGTCGGGGCATGACCTGGCCAAGGTCACCCAGGCCTTCTGACCCCTGGCATACGTCCTTTCCTTCCTCAACATTTTCCTTATACTATTCTCAACTTCCACTTTTCTCCAGAAAAAAGCAGAAATATGTCAATTGGAGAAATGTCTGAAAGCATGCTATATCTTAATAAGTCATAGAACACTGCCAACGTCTACAGGAAATGAGTTAGCCTGCCTAAGTTGGACTTTTGCTGCCATTATTTCCAAAGGTTCTCTGCTAGACCCTTTTACAAGATAGTCATTATTTCTCCTTAACCATTTTCAAGTACATACTGGTTTTCAGCAATTTCAGAGCTCAGTGGCTGGGGTGGGGGCGGAGGAGGAGGGTGGTAGCTCTAGTGTTTTTTTTCCCACTTTCCGCAACAGCTAAAAATTCTTGTAACACAGCAGTTACTTAGAATTGAATTCCTGCCCGAGCCTGTGAGAATGAAACAAATCCATTTCAGAAATAAGGACTCTACAACACCACCTTGAAAGAAACTGTGAGCGAGTCCACCTCAAACCCTGCTCCTTCAGAAGCACTGCCTTTCGGGAACGCCAGTGCCAGGCTAAGGCTGCCTCTCTTCTAGACAGTGTGTGTGAAACCATCAACATGGCTCAGCACAGGTTTTCCAGTGGTAAATAGAGCCCCAGTTGCAGCAGCACAATTGTTCAGATTTGACTGCATCCGAGGGATTAAAAGAACTGGAAACTTCTTTTTTGTAAGGACTGGAAACTATTATTACTATAAGCTGTTCAAGCAAAGGCTCCCAACAACCTACATAGAAGGTAGGCAGTGTTTCCAAGAGGATGAATTCACTGCTGTCAGAATTAAGCCTTTCACTTCAACATGTTTCCTAATCTGCACCACCTTAGTGTCTATCTAGCCAGTTTGCTCTCAGATGAATTCCTTTCATTCATTCATTGATAGAGATTTGTGGTAAGAAAGCCACTAATTCACCCCCAACCATCTTAAAATAGCATCTTTCCATTCAAGAGTTGCAAATGCATTATAATTGTTAACTTTAAAAACAATTGGGGGTGGGAGGAAAGAGCCTGGAAGAAAGGGCAGGGAAGATTTTTCACTTAGGAAAGACTTAATCAAGGCTTATTCATGGGGTTTGGAAGTAAATCAGACAATGCGTTTAAGAAATTAACCAGCCTCTCAAGTGCTGTGTGATTTTGGCACGTCACTTCCTATCTCTGGGCCTCAGTTTCAACTGTAAAATCAGAAGTGGAAAAGTGGGCGTCCTTTCGGTTTAACAAGCAATCTCTGATTTCTCCCAACAGTGGAGACATTTTGGTCCTAAAAGAGAATAGATGTTAACCGCCTAAGCTCCCAGCTGGTCTACCTGAATATTAAATACCCCCTTAACTCATTTCCAGTTCCTAATCAGGAGGCAGCCACTTAAGGCTTGCAGCAACAGATGTCAAACCACAAAGTTCTTAATTGGTTGACAATAGGCACATATTTAGAATTGTTAATTAGAAGAGGTGAAATCACACAGGAAAAGTTTTCCTATAATTAGGCACAAAACACGGGGCAATTCTATTCAAATTGAAATCCCCCCTCCCCCCCTCCGCATTTCTAAAGAAGTTACCCCTAAGAAAATTGATTTTCTTCCTTCTAGTCGTTTCGACTTGCAAGAGCCACCTCCCAAGACCAGGTCTTGGCCTTATTTCTGCCACATCCTTGAAAATCCCATTTCCTCACAGCCGCATGCGAAGCAGCGAGCTCGGTGACCCTCTGCAGAAGCTGAGGCCGCGGCAGACAAGGAAGTAACTGCCACCTTTCCTTTTCTGAAGGAATAACAGGGCTCCGAGAAGGAGGGAGAAGTTGGAGAAGAGCCGGGTCCCTTCATCACCCCCTCCCCAGTACTTGCTGCTTCGTGGGTCAACAAAATTAACCCACCTCTCCCTGCTCCAGTATCTCAACCAACGAGACAAGCTAAAAACTGTTGTCAAGTCTTCCCAGGCAGGCAGGGTCCGCGGAGCCCCCCGCCCCCAGCCTCCCGGATTTGGGCAGAATCCCAGCCAGCGCCTGTCAGAGCTGAAGCGGCCTTTGCAATCCCGAGTCCCACTCCCCAGTTTGCAGATAAAGGGCGGCGAGGCCCAGGGCGGGGAGGGCCCCGGAGTCCGGCCGGCAGCCGCAGGCGGCGGCCCGAGAGCTGCGGGGCGCGGGGGCGGACTCACGCTCTTGTCGATGTCCAGCTTGAGTTTCTTCTGCGAGATGCTCTTCTGGACTCGCTTGCTGAAGGAGGCGTTGCCCGCGGGCCGGACGCAACGCTCGCCGTCCTCGATGAGGCAGCAGCTCTGGCCGTAGCCCGGGGCGGCGGCGGGGGCGGCGGGGGGCGGGGCCCCCGGGCCCCCCCCCCCACCCCCCCCCTTCGCGGCTGTCCTCCTCCGTGCTAAAGCCGTTCATCTCCCCGCCCCGGGCCGGCCCCTCTGGGGGAGGGTCCCCTGTAGGCCACTCCGCGGCCGCGCGCCCCCGGGGGCAGCTCGCTGAGGCCCCCGCACCTGAGGGTCCCCGAGTCCGTCTCCAGCCGAAGCGCTGCCCTGCCCCGCGCCCGGGAGGCCCGGCTCCGCTCCGCCGCGCTCCGGCTCCTTCGGCCCCGGGCCCCGCGTCTCCGGAAAGCCCCTGCCTCCCCGCTCGAGGCCCCGGGGTCGGCTCTTGCGGCTCGCAGGGCCCCGCCGGGGGTCACCCGGAGGCGCCTTCGGCCGGGGGCCCAGAACCGCTACCCTTCGGCGGGGGCGTCAGGGAGGGCGTCCCAGGAAGCAGCCGCTCCCCGGGGACTCCGCGCCCGGGTTGCCAGGAGGTTTCGAGGGCCCCCGCCGGCTCCCGCCTTCTTTCGGCTGCGGGGCAAACTCGCCGCCGGGCAGATCCCCCGGGGTGGCACGGCCTCCCCGCGCG